AAAGATAGATTTAGATCTTATTTAGAGCAGATTGATGAATCGAGTCATGTTAATATGCAGCTATAGAAGAAGTAATGACTACCATGCTATGTTGGAATAATGTTGTCTCATAGATAACCAAGTTGAATCATGACAGGAGGGTGACAGACACGCGAAAGATTAAGTGTGCCATCTTCTAATCTTAGTAAAAACCCAGGACAATTATGAAGATCTGCTTGCCTCGATTGCTGCCCTTCACGCTGCCGAAAGCGACATGAAAATGGAGTATAACAAAACCATGGACCATTTCCAGACAGAAAAAGTTAAGGAGTAACTCCTATTTCAAGATAAGTATTGGCATTCATATACGTACCAGGGAGGGAGGCCCCCCCTGTGGATGGATCTGGGGTGGACCACGCCAGAGGGGTCCAGCCTTGCCACCTTATTGGCCAGGCCTGTCGAGGGGCTGCCGGGCGGGAAGGCCTCAAAGCGCCCACTTCTGAGCCCTTCTCGCTTCTTGCATGTACCCCACAGACCTGGCAAAGGTGGCAAAGGCTGGGCCCTCTTGTCGTGTTGCGTGTGCCCGACAGAGCTGGCAGACGAGGCAAGGCGGGAACCCACCCCCTTGGCGTAGGGTTGGGCACATGCAACACGCCAGAGGGGTCCAGCCTTGCCACCTTTGCCAGGTCTGTCGGGTACATGCAGCACGCCAAGGGGGTGGGTCCCGCCTTGCCTCCTCTGCCAGCTCTGTCGGGTACACGCAACACGGCAAGAGGGCCCAGCCTTTGCTACCTTTGCCAGATCTGTGGGGTACATGCAAGAAGCGGGAAAGGGTCAGAAGTGGGCGCTTTGAGGCCTTCCCGCCCGACAGCCCCTCGAAAAGAGGGGCCGGGCGGGGGAGCCCCCGGTCGAGAAAGGGACCCTCTGGGCTTTGCGGGATTTCTCGGGCGGGAAGACCAGAAATTGAATTGAGGGAAGACCAGAAATCCCGTGAAGTTGGGAGCTTTGTTGGGAGCTTTTGACGTGGCGGACGATGGGCAGCAGCGTTCCCCCTGTAGGTGAGTGCCAGTCTTAACCCCCAGAGGGACGCGGAAAATGTCCACAAGACGGCGAGGGGGAAAAGTTCCTTCGGCAGAAGTTCGCAGAGCTTGGCAGAAAATGCGGCAGAAAGTCCAAGAGGAAGGGGCGGCAGAAGTGTTCTGGGTGGCAGAAAATGCGGCAGAAAGTCCAAGAGGAAGGCGCGGCAAAAGTGTTCTGGGTGGCAGAAAATGCGGCAGAAAGTCCAAGAGGGGGGCAGAGAATGTTCCCGATTTTCAGAAAATGCGGCAGAAAGTCCAAGAGGGGGGCGGAAAGTGTTCCCGGGTGGCAGAAAGTCACGGAGGGGGGTGGAAAATGTTCCCGGGCAAGCAGAAAACGCGGCAGAAAGTCACAAAGGAGGGCGAAAAATGTTCCCGGGTGGCAGAAAGTCACAGACGGGGGCGGAGAGTGTTCCCGGGTGGCAGAAACTTAACCAGGGGATTGGGAAACGTTCCCGGGTAGGCAGAAAATGCGGCAGAAAGTCACAGAGGGGGGCGGAATATGTTCCCAGTTGACAGAAAATGCGGCAGAAAGTCAACCAGGGGGGCGGAGGATGTTCCGGAGGCGGCAAACCTGGCAGCAAATCAACGAAGGGAGCAAACCGGGCAGAGAATCAACCTAGGGAGCAAACCGGGCAGAGCTTCTGACCTCTGTGACTTTCTGCCGCATTTTCTGCCTACCCGGGAACGCTTCCCACTCCCCTGGTTCCTGTGCGTGGTTCCTGTGGTGACGATGGGCAGCAGAAACGGGGGCGGAGAGTGTTCCCGGGTGGAGCCACAGGGTTCCCGGGTGGCAGAAACTCTACCAGGGGAGTGGGAAACAATAGAGTTCTGTGGTTCAGGAACCACAGGAACCACAGGGGCCACAGGATCCACAGGATCCACAGGATCCACAGGAACCACAGGAACCCCAGGAACCACAGGAACCACAGGAACCACAGGAACCACAGGAACCACAGGAACCACAGGAACCACAGGAACCACAGGAACCACAGGAACCACAGGA